AAATATTTATATTTAACATTTATTAATATTTTATTATAGTTGCAAATAATATATCATCAGACTGTTTTTTTCAATAGTAATCAAATGTTATTTAAAAATTTACATTACAGTGATTAATTTATAATATTTTAATAATAATTTTTATATAAATTTACTATTTTATTTTACAAATGTGAAACAAAAAAAAATTAAATTAAAATCTACGTTTTTATAGTTATGAATATATTATATTAATACTTATATAATTCATTTAATGTAGACAATTGTTAGAAAACAAAACAATGCATTCAATCTATAATTTACATAATATTTACAATTTTATTACATGAAAATAATTATATTTAGAAACACATTAAATAAATCAATAGAAAAGTAATGTAATTTATTTTGCAATAATACATGATGCATGCTAATAAAAATACCTATTGCTTAATAATATTTATATAATAAATAAAAACATAATTTAATTTGAATGTACAAAAAGATAAACAATTTTAAAGTAACTTTAGTTTTGACATTTATTTTAATTGTAATATTAATAACTAATAAAATTACATATCTTGTATAATTATTAAATATTTAATAATATTATATAATAATAATTATACATATTGTTGCTTATTATAGAATTTACATATAAATAGTTTAATTTGAAATTTTTGTAAATTGATTAATAAATGTTTATAAAAATGTGAATTGTATGTATGATTTTGAAAAATAAATTTTAAATATATACTGTATATATATAAGAAGGCGTTCATTATATTTTTGAACAGATAGAGAGATTCTTTCTGTAAAAAGTTTATTATAAACTTAAAACTTAGGAAAAATCACGTTTTATATAAAATAGTCAGACATTTACACAAACAATATATCTATCTGTTTAAGAATTATTAAGAAAACCGTTGGGACAGATATAATGAGCACCTTCTTATTATAATTAATATCTATTGCCCTAAAAATTAAGTAAATATATTACAATGAATATAAAGTACAATAGCTATAAATATGGGGATCCCATAGTATAATAATAAAGTAAAATTTATTCTTGAGAAATTTACTAGAAATATTTCACGAAAATTTATTAGATATTTCTATTTGCCCATTTTTAGTTTATAACATAAATAAAAACTACACTTATATCTATAGTGAAGTAGATTTTATAAATTTTATAGTATTGTTTAATTTGTATTAATATTGATATCAATTATTATGTATTTAATAGTAAGTCAAAGTGTAAAAGTGTTAATTAAATTTATGATTAAAATCTTATAATGAAAATGTCTGAAAATAAAATTAAATACGTTTAAAAAAATTAATTTAGTAAATAAATTTATTAATAGTAACTTATTTCTTATCCATAAATTTTAAAGTTAAGATTTTTATGTTTAGCTTAAAACATTGATTATTAATTATCAATGAAATTTATGAAGACTTTTGAAGTGATTTATAAAATATTTATTATAATTATAATTTTATAATTAATAAAATATATCTATTTTTAATTAAAGATTACAACGATATATAATATTTCAATCAATAAAATATACAATCTATAATTTATTTTATTGTATACTAATTTAGTTACTATTGTATTATAAAATAATGTAATATACTAAAAGTATTATTAGAAATTTATTTTTATATTTAATGTTTCTAACATTGTCAAGGTAATGTTAATCAATGGTAATTAATGTATACATTATTATCAATAATATTAACAAATATGAGAGATGACCAAAAAATGTAACTTATATTATAACCTATATTATTGAATTACTGATTAAATGTTATTATATTGTATTTAATATAATTACTATTTATTTCAATATACAAACAATGTGTTAAAAATGAAACCTTTGAATGTATTTAATTTATGAGTATATAATTTTATTGGTATCCAATTGTTTCAATTTACTATATTATTTCAAATTTTAGTTATAAATACAATTATTGTTACAATACTATGAATAACATACTCTTTTATATAATATATAATATAATTCTAGATTTAGATATATTATATTATAATACTGAATACGTTTTTGTCTATAATATTGAAAAAAACATTTAACATATATATCGATAATTTATTTGCAAAACATTGAAATATAATTATATATATATATTATTTTTTTTAATAAAACGGTATTTACTATTATTAAGCAATATATGTATCATGTATGAATATATGAAATATAAATGTATAACTATTTGTATTATTAAATATAAATATAAATATTTTTATATTTTGGGAAATAATTATTTTTATTAGAAAATATAATAAAAGTAAAAAATAAAATTCAACTAATTATATAAAGTTATAACACATTAATAATATAATAAACTACAAATAAAATGTTATATCGGTTAACAATATTAGACATGAAGTAATGGTTGCTTTCAATTGGATACCATGTCTTCAATTTGAAAAATTGTCTCATCTTTGAGATTAATATATAAGGATTTCCTTTGCTTTTCTCATAATAAGACAATTATATTTGGATGTAAACCAAATCAAAATCAATGTTATTTTCAATTCAATGAGTCGTTTATTTAAGATATTTGTAAAACACACACAACTTTTCAAATATATATACTGTATATATGACATCATTTACATTGACTGTCATATCATATCCCTGAATAAACCCCACTTTTATGCCATTACTGAACCAGAAAATCCTTAAACTAACAGTTGTTTTATTTAGTGATTTTGATCTTTTTTATAATAATAATAATTATTATTATTATTATTACTATTATTTATTTTTATATACATTAATAGGGGAGAAATTAAATAATACCAGGATATTAATCTTTTATTGTTTTATTGAGTTTGCAATTAAATAAAAACGTTAATTAATTTCTCTATTAAGAAGTCAATTCAATTATATAATACAATAGATACTGATTTTATTAAAGATATTAACAGATATTTATTTTAACGTTTATTATTAACGTTTTATAATGATATAAATAATATAATTTAGCATTTGTATCAAATTACCTAGATTAATAAATAAATATTATAAGTTTAAAAAACACTGATTTATCATTTAGATTAAATTTTTTATAATTTTATAAACATAATTCTTATAGTATTTTGTTTATTTAATTAAACTTTATTAAATAAAATACCTGTACATTAAAATCATAAAATTATAATATTTAAGTATTATAATATTCAATAATAATACAAATACAAAAATTATTGTATTTTATTATTATGTTGTTTACAAAAAATAAGATAATTAATAATCATTAAATCTTATTAACAAATATATTACATCATTACAATAACAATTTTGTAATTACTATGATATTTTCCCATCACATTATATATACTGTAGATTAAATTGTCTGAATTGTGCGACAAAAAAATCAAAATTATTTAAATAATGTATTTTACAATATTATTTTATTATAACATTTAGCTGCAATAAACAACTTTAAATTAATTTTTGTTATATTTAATAGAATATAATAAAAATATGTAATAATAATTATATAGAAGTCAATATACATTTTTTGTTTTATTTAAAAAAAATTAAAAAATATTTTCAAAACTTGTACATATTATATTATTTAAAAAATTTCATCAAAATTTAATTATTTTTTGTCTGAATTAAAATAATTAAATTATATCAGTATTAAACACAAAATTAAAAAATACAAATTTGACATAAAGTTAGAATTTATAATAAATTATTGCATTTATAGGTCAAACAATCCCTGAATCTGAATTAGTCATCAATTTGTTATATCATTCAAACCAATAGTCAATCCATACATACGGTGTGTAACACATGTGATGTCAATGTTATTGTAAACATCGATGCAATGCATGTATTGAGACGTCGTTTATTGACATCACTTAGTCCTCCATTAAATGCAATAACCACTCGTAAACTTATGACTCTTATCAATAATAGTACTAATATTTGTTAAATATTTATTGTAAATTTGGGTCTTTTATAAATGAGTCAAAATATTTATAAGTCTTTATTGCAGTTTTCCTGTCATTTGTATGTGATTTGTGTTTTCACTCATTTGACAACACATTCATTGATTTGTCGATCAATTGATTGATCCGTAAATACATTGGACACTGACATTGATGACAACAACGATGGCCAACGCGGCGGTCACTTTGCGACGAAACCGAAAGGGCTGTACGAGCGAAGAGTTTTATCTTTGGGCGGATGAGCCGTTTGAAGAGATGGACTCAACCATTGCTGTCCAACAGTTCATTCAGCAAACTATACGCAAAGATCCGGCAAATATCGATGAAATACTGATGGCTCCCGAAGGTCAAGAAGAGGGCGGTTGGAAGTATGAACACTTACGACAATTCTGTCTCGAACTGAATCGGTTGGCCGTCAAACTACAGGCCGAGTGTTCGCCGCAAACGTGTACACAGATGACGGCCACCGAACAGTGGATCTTCTTATGCGCCGCACATAAGACACCGAAAGAGTGTCCGGCTATTGACTACACCCGACACACGCTGGACGGCGCCGCCTGTCTTCTCAACTCAAACAAGTACTTCCCTTCCAGAGTGACTATCAAAGAGTCGTCTGTAGCCAAACTCGGATCAGTTTGTCGTCGAGTGTACCGTATCTTCAGTCACGCCTACTTCCATCACAAATCACTTTTCGATGAGTTCGAGAACCAGTCCTTCCTTTGCAAACGATTTACTGTTTTTGTTACTAAATATAATCTCATGTCTAAAGACAACCTCATTGTCCCGATTCCTGGTCTCGACAACACTACTACTACTACTACTACTACCACTACTACTGTAACCACCGGTGAGACAGAGGCTTAACACCAGTTACTTAATCCATGTTTTGATTTGAGTTTTATTCGTAAATTTATCAACTTTTATATGCTTTCAAAATATATTAATATTTAATATTATTTATCTATAAATTACTGTAATTTTCAATTGTAATAAACCCTGAGTTAAAATAAAGTATTATATTAACAATGAAATGAATATATGGTTAGAGAATGTGACCAAAGATACTGTCGATTACTTTCAAAACTCATCCGAAGAGATGGCCAGATATCCACAGAATATTTCACAATTGATGACAGATATTATCAAAACACGAGTTCACTCATCAATCCTTATCGTCGTCCGAGTTATGTGAGGAAGAAGAAGGAATTGATGGCTAATATGACAACAAATATGAACGGCAGTAATGAGGCCAACAAATCGATAACCAATGGGCCGCGTAAGTCAATGGTGGACACAAATGTGTAAATTATTAAATACTAACTGTTATTTTATAAATATATATAATTATATAGCGATGCCGTGGTTTGGTATGGATATCGGCGGAACACTCGTCAAATTAGTATACTTTGAACCGACTGACAAACACATGACACAAATGAACTCGGATTTGGAGACATTGAAGAAAATCAGACACTACTTGAAGAAGAACGCCTCGTACGGCAATACCGGTAAACGTGATGTTCATCTGCAGATGAATAACTGTTGTATTAATGGTCGATACGGGACATTGCATTTCATACGATTTCCGTCAACCGAAATGCCGATTATGTAATATATGTATTAATAAATTAATATATTTTAATTAAATAATTAATTTTGTTTATCAAAAGTAAATTAAATGTCAAAAACTATTTGTCAATTTATTAATAAGTTTAGGCTGTTTATACTCGTGTTTCACAATTACTATTATTATAAATACTATATATGTATAAAAAAATCTGCAAAAATAAATTATATAATTTATAGTGTATAACTATAATTGTGTCAATTAATTGTGTAAAAACGAGTATTAGTTATAATATTAGTATAGAATATATTCATTAAATTAAATATATCAATATTTAGGTCTATGTATTGCTTCGAGTTTTTAAGACTATATATTTTATGAAAATAATTTTTATATACAATAAAAATTATACAAATTTATGAAAACATAAGTATAGTTAAGTAATGACTGGACTGTCGTCTTCATATGGAACCAGTAGTTCCCGTCGAACCGGTTGTCGCGTAGATCACCTCTTCTGATCTGAGACTCTCCTCATCGCCAAAGCTTTCGCTTCGTTCACTACACTCTTCTTCTTCCTCTTCGAAGCCGTTTTCGACAATTGATGTCAACTTTGGTGCACTCTTTGAGCGCTCCAATGGTTGTCTAAAATTGGCTAATCCTTTGACCAGTAATTGTTTGCGTATCGGTATTTCAGTCAACGATAATCTGGCGTTTTGTCGTAATTTCTTTTCGCGTCGAAACTCTTGTAAAGCTGTCGTTAGTTTGTCTTCGAGTGAATCAGACATTCGCTATAAAAAACAAATAATAATTAATTAATTAGTTGTTATATCAGTAACAATTGGTGATCATCGTAGGGATAAATACCTGTGCGATGTCCTCTTTATGACAGAGGACTGCGTGACACCTGAGCTCTGGTTTGCCTTTACGTCCGTCGTGTCTGTAGATCCAACAAAACAGTTTCGGATAGTTTTGATGAACACAACAATAGGTCACTCGGTTGGCCCAGTATTGTGTGAGTCCGTGCTCTTTGGTGATGGCTTTAAGGCCAGAGTTGCATACCGTTAGCTTCATTTGTATATCTTGTTTAACATTTGTACAGTAGTTGTTCCACAATGTGTCCAATGGCTTATCCACTGATTGATGACCTTTGGCCCACGGGGTCAACACATTACCTAAATAAACCACTTTATATGTGGGATCAGATTCGGTGATCGTCAACGACTTCTTGTTCCAAAACTTCAATTGATTTAGTGATGAAGTCATCACTTGGTTTGCTGTTTGGCACCACTTCTTGTTAGTTCACTGGTTGTGTCCCCAAACAAAACGGATGTCTTTTTTGTTATTATCAATGAATTAATTATTTATTTGATCCCAACTTTATTTTTCACACAAAACACATCCAATGTATTCACTGTTTGACTGCATTTATAACAATACAAGTGTTTTATTATTATTATTATTAAACACACAAATGGTTTGTAATAATCATTAATAATATAATAACAAACCATATATTTAAAGCATTAAATAACAAAAATAAAAAACAATATCATATATAGCATAGAAAATGATTAAAATTAATATATTTTGATAATAATTTAGACATAACTTTAGTTTATTTTCATTTAACTGTATTTTTTAATTAAATATCAAATAAATAAAGTGTAAATTAAAATGAAAATCAATACAATTATCCAAATAATTGGGTCATTGGGACAACCATTTGAAAAGCAATAGTTAGTTAATGGTGTAAACAGTACTATATGTATGATATCATATCATATCATATGTTATAGTAATAGAAATTCAATTCAATTATCAAATGGCAATAATAAGTAGTTTTGTTATATAATTATTATGTATTTTTGAAGTCATTTTCATTACATTTTACAAACAGTTTTATATATACCTGTTGTTAGTGTTGTTGTGATTACTGACTGATTCGTAAGTTATTATATACAGTATATACACTAAATACTCGATACGAGTTCACATAAAGTTTCTATATATTCAATTGGCACTGTTATGCAATGTGCTAACCGTCCTCGTGATGACTGTCCTCTTGAATATCAATCGTTAAAGTTGTTAATTATCTTTTAATTCAGTAATCACTTTGAAGTGCTAATAATATTGTCTCCAATTGATTGTTTGATTAATTCATTGATATGTATACTATATTGGGTCGTATAGTGCACTTCCCAAACATGATTTGAGGGACAAATTGCTTAATCATTATAACAGACAAACTATTTTCAAAACAATATAATTCATTAAACATTATCTCAATTGTCTGTAGTTTTTATCAACATTTATGTCATTAGAAAATAATGTGTAGAATATTTTGATTAGAAATTAAAGTTTTTAATTTATGTTATTTTTATTTTTAAGTAATAGTTTGTTAAAGAAATATTTTTATTAAATTTTTTTTATAGTGACGTTATTTATGCATTTATTTCATTTTAACGTACATTTCGTTGAAAAAGTGTAATCACTTTCATTGTTAACGTCCAATGATTTTAACGATAAATTTTTTTATAATTAAAATTAACATAAATTTATACACAAAACAATACGATATTTATTATTTAAAAAATCATTTAAAGACAAATAATTGTTTGTTTAATTAATAAGATAACAATATATATATATTTATACTTTAATTAACTTTATTGGCAATAATTTTAATGTTTATTTAGCGGAACTTATGGTTAATAACTTTTATTACTAAAACTTTGTGAAATTATAAACTTTTTTTAATGTTTAAAGTTTAATTTATTATTTTTATATATTTATCATACAAATTGTATGATACAATAGACGATTATTAGTTTATTTTAATATAATTTTCTCAATTATTCTTATAGATTATGTCAAAGTTGTTATCTTTAGATTTTGACAGAAATGTTTTAGTGTTGAGATTATTAATTAACAAATTAATCAGTAATATAATAATTTATAAATATTAAAATAGTAGTGATGTTAAATCTTTTTGAAAAAATTTTGAATTTTGAATTTATAATTTATCAAATCTATGACAAATTTAATATTATTATTATTAATAATCTTTATTTCATATACTTGTCATAAATATAATAAATTAATTATTGATAAATTATAGTATAAAAATTTTTACAATAACACTATTAAGTAATTTATATATTTAAATAATTAAATATTATAAATTTGTAGTTATTTACAACCTTATAGTATAAATTTAGATAACAATTCTCATCACAGTATACACAATGTTTTTCAATTTATAATTACTTATAGTAAATACACAATCATTATTACAAAACAATTATATATTAATTTACTATAAATACAATATTTTCTTGGAAAAAAAGATTAAAGTATTATTACAGTAATAATAATCAATTGTTATATTCTATTTTAAGATAATTAAAGTTATATACAAAACAGGATCTATTTTATTAATATATAACAAAATTTGTAATTTATTAATATTAATAATTAATTTAATTAATAGTTAGTTGTAAGTATTATTAACTTAAATGCAAGAATTGACACAGTTTTGACAAATAATGTTTTATTTAATTATTTATAATTTTTAAATAAATCAGTATAAATATCTAAAACTATTATAAAATAAATTTAATAATTGAATTTAAAGTTATAAAAAGAAACAACAACAAAATTCTAAGTTTTATTAAGTTTAATTAAATCTAAAATCTAAAATTTAATTATTAATTAATTAATTAATTAAGTTTATTAATAATAAAAAACATTTTGTTTTTCAATTAATTTACTTTAAAAAATATCACATATATTTTTTATTAATTGTTTATATTGTATAAATATTTATATAATGTAAATTAATTTTTTTTTATTATTATACAATAAGGTATTATAAATACAATTTTCCCATAAGTCGGATATTGGTTATGACTTTATTTGCTAAATAATGTTTACTTCAAAAAACTATTTTTATTGTTTAACATATCTAACCATATGTTAAGCAATTGACGGGAATCAACTAATTCAATTCAATATAAATTATATAATATATTATACAAAACTATATTCAAAATCTATATAAGAATATATTAAAGAGATTAATAGAGCCTTTAATCCGATTAATTTGATAACAAACAAAAAAGTAATCCATTTTTAGTGAATCAACATTTAGAGTGGTTTTTGATGGCAATTCTCATGAGAGTAATTAGTTGACAATCATTTCAGTTTTTTCAATAACAATAACTAATAACTATTTAATATTAAATTGTGAGTCAATGAGAGAGAGAGAGAGAGAGAGAGAGAGAGAGAGAGAGAGAGAGAGAGAGAGAGAGAGAGAGCTGGTAGTAAAGGACAGACACCCGACCCGTCCAACACTTGAACCTATTTTGTATGCAAAAACCATATATAAAATGTACTGTAAATACTACTGTATATACTATTTATATATATAGAGTGACTGAAAGACCTGTCCTACCATTATATATGATTGCATTACAAAAGGCCATAAATAACTCTTAGCGTTAAATATTTAATTAATTTAATACCATTTAATCTGTAATTCTCGACTGAAAATTGATTTTAGTCTTTCAATATTTGAATTTTTATATAGCATTTAAGCCTCAATTCGTTTTGGAGATAAAAATCTCTCAAATTTCAAATGACATAATGTATACAATATATAATCATTGAAATTCAATTGATTGTTAAAAATAAAATTGATTTTCAAAATATAAAAAAGCGAAATGTTTATTGAATATATATATAAAAGTAAAAATACTGTATTGGATATAACTTTTAAACGTTTAAACAAGTAGTTTGTCTTTTATGTCATTTATACCCCTCATATCCCTGACTCTAGTGTCGGTCAAAATCTATATCAACCACATATTGTATGATATAATATCTATATATCTGTTTATATAATACTATTGATATTATTGGTCATTTGTCTGCAACTAAAATGTCTTTTAAATTTATTAAAATATATTACAACAAAATAAATAGATGACAGAGTAATAGGCTAAGTGAAAGTTATCCAGGAAATTTATATACCATATAATACGATGTATAAAAATATCGATTGTGATCTAAAATTTAAACTCATAAATTATATTTTTTAAAGTATACAATACTTAAATTTTCTAGTGATGAGATACACTAACTGTCCCTTTAATTCAATATTAAAATGATTAAAGCAAACACTATTATACAATGTTATCATTTGAGATAATATCAATAATGCTGTTTATTGACTATGATGTGCATTGACTAATGGTTTTGAGTGTAATGTTATATAATATGTATATACTGTACTATATTTAAGTTAATAAAGTTTTTTATTGTCATTTAGTTGAGTGTATTATACATTTCATGAAAGTATTATATAATCAAATAACATTAAAATAATTTTTAGTTTAGTTAATATACAAAATAAACGCATTTACTTTAATAAAAGGTGTTATCAATTTTGATAGCACACTCTTATACTTTTTACCTATTTGTTCATTATTTAAAAGACTAGAAGTTTAAATAAATTTATCATTTAATAGCAATTGATTTTATTATTATTACCATTTCTATTAAATAGTATTTACCATTTCTATTAAATAGTATTCAAATGATTCACAGACTTAGCAAAATAATACAAATAATTTTTTTATTTATTTTTTCTTCATCTATACCTATGAATGCACTCAACATAATGTATAGAAAAATGTGTGTATACTATAATATATATCTTTATTCAATGGTTCCCAATTGGATATCATCATATTATGGCAAATTGAATCAAATAATTTACATAAAATAATCATTAGCTGATACTGACATTTCAATAGCAAACTATGACTTTCACTCAAGAGATTCCCGTCAAATGAAAACTTAAAAAATATAATAAAAGTAATGCAAAGTTTATTATTCATTCATAATAACAATAGTTTTGCATTTTTATACTGAATATATTGAAAAATAGTCTAACAGTATTTAAAAATTAACATTTATAATAATAATAACTATAATATAATAATAATAATAATATATTCAATACAAAAAGGTAGCCATATTTTCCAAGATATTAAAATAAATTAATAAATATTAAGTATCAGAAATAATTTAATAGATAATTATTTTGGTATAAATAATATAATAGTAATACACAAAATCAGTAATATATATTTTATATTTATAATATTTTATAAATGTCTGTATAAATGTCTGTATCTATATTATATTTATTTAATATATTTAAATAAAATTATTTGTTTAAAGCCATTTTTATTTATTTATTTATTTATTTAACTGTTTTGCAAATTATGGTCATTTTCTTTACAATTACTTTAAAATAGATATTTTTCATTAAAATTAAGTTATTATATTCTAGTTTTAAAAATTATTTATATTATAAATGTCATAAATCATAAAACTATTTTCATTCAAATTTAACACT